CACAGGCACTCGTATGGGACTTTTACAATCAAAGTTGGGAATCTGTACAGTTTTGAGCAAATACGAACTAACACCAAGCGAGAAAACTCTAATACCAATGATTATCGATCCGAAAGGTACCTTGACATCACCAATGGGTGGCGGTCTATATCTCAATATTCGAAAGGTTAATACCCACGTTAATTAATATTTGATAATATATTAATACAGTCATTTCACTATTTTCAAGCCACGCGACCCACACAATAATATTTCAAACACACAATTTTTACAGTGATAAATGAATATTGAACTGAAATTATGTTAGTTATAAAGAAAAAATGTTATTAGTTTCAAAGATTTATTTTAATTGCAAATAAATCTTATAGCTTGCGACATGCTTTATGTATATTAATATTAGATTAATTATTTCTTGTGTGTAAATACTGCTTAGCAGTTCAATGTCAAAATTAGAGAAAAAATATAATAAATAATTTTTATCGATTATATAATTAACATAATTCTTCCTGTAGAATTATGTTTGAAAATATATGATGAAATCTAATAATGAAAAGGATTAATTTATTTCCTTCTTTTTCATCCAATATCCTTGTTATTGAAAAATAATATAATATTTTTCTTCAGTCAGAAACTATCATAACAGATATCAGTTATGATGGTTTTATATGTTGCGTCCTATTTCTTTTTGAAGCACGTTTGAAGAATGCAAGCAACCGCGCCATTGCTTATGTTAAATAATAAAAGGTAGAAGCTTATTTTTACTACAATTCAATAATTATTTTATATTATCAATTTAATAAAATATGTATAGGTACATTTTATGCCGTTTTTTATTTTAGTTATAAAATAAATTTATTTTTCTTAGGAATAGTATTTATGGTACGACTATGTACAAGTATCTTTATCACTGTATGTTATTTTTAAGCAATGTATAATAACACAATATAATTACAAAACATAAAAAAATATTTTTAACAGATAAGGAATATTTAATGTCAACTACTATAGTGATACAGCGATATTTTTTTATAAAAATTCTGTTTATAACGAAGTATTGGGGATATAGCAAGCCGAGCACGGCAAGAGAGTCTCTTTTATTCACGTCTTTTATTCGTCTTTTATTTACAGCATGTATGATACAAACAAATACGTTTTAAGAAAATTTGCCTGATTGAATTTTTTTCATCTTCTGGCGGTGTAAGTTTTATTAAAGAACAAAAAAATATTGAATTTCACTTATATTTATGAGTAGAATAGTCACAAAATTATAAACAATAATTAACTAATCTTTCCACATAGGAAGACGTTACAGTCATGCTATTTAATACGCTACTTCCTTGTAATTTTTTAAATCAGCGACGCAATTCATAAACAAAATGATATCCGCATAAGCATTGAACGTAACGAGAGAGAGAGAGATATATATATATATATATATACATATATATATATATATATAATAATTAAATTTAGGCATTCTCATTATTAACACGTAATTATATTAATATTATATTTTATATTATATTGTTTTGAATATATAAATCATATATTAATATTAATATTGTTAAAAATTAATTAATATTAATTAATATTATTAATATTTATATTGTATATCAAATGTTTTAAATGTTTGCCAGTTAATATATCATTACAAAATTTTTGAATACTTTAAAGATATGTTGTAGACAAGTATAAGTAAGAAGGAAGCGTCAGAATCAGAGGATCGCCACTAGAGTCCATTCAATCATCAAAATCAAATAATGTACATTGGACCTAGTACTGTACTCGAATAGGTGACCGGCTGAGATAATTTTTTTATTCAGTTTAAGTGTTCTTCAAGATGTCATTTATCTGATATCTTTATCTCCTTTAAAATCGATACCTTAGTTAAAAATATGACATCATTATGTTATCTTTTAGATAGTGTTGTGATTGTTGTGAAACATCAGCTTTCAGATGTAAACTCTTCAAGAGCTCATTTTGATAACAATTGTCGGGAAGGTATTGCCCGGATACAAGTTAAAAATTTTATTTAATTAATTGAATCAAAGTTAAAAAAATTGGGAATTAGGAATCTAGAAAGTTAGATATAAAATTTAATATAAACTTATAGTTTATGTGTCTCTGATGCAAGCTTCTGTGCTGCATCACAATCGCACTCTTACAAAACAGCACAGGTTACAAAATAACTACGGAAGTTATAAACGATCATGCAACTATCCATATTTCGCGATCAAATTATTAAAAAATACGAAAAGAAATTAGTACAAGAAATACATTATGCTAAATATAATTAATTAGATTTGTCTAATCAAAGATTTGAACTAAATTTCTACGTTATACGTTTTTGTAAAACTCTTTTCAGAAATAAGCAAGTGCAGAAATAATAAATTAGTTAACAATCACTAGGATGAAATGATAACAATCACTAGGAAGAAATCTTTTTGCTATGTTGCAAATAATTTGAATTGCAACTCCTTTGAATGTGGTTGATTAAAAACTCGCATGTAGTAGAATGTTTGCAAGTACAATCATTTTTAGTGATAAACAATTATCAGCTTCGATTAAATCCTAATTAACTTAATTGGCGACTTAATTAATTACACCAAATTTGTAGCTTTAACTTATCACTTCTAATCTAATCTTCTGTTAATAGTGTGTAATAAATTAATCGCCAATGAAGTTAATCGATTTCATCCGAAGTCGCCCTATGGCACGAAACGATTATCAATGAGCAAATCGAATTATTTGCATGTGCTGAGTTAATGTCAGTCGATTGTCTACTACACAAAATTATAGATAATTATAAAAATGACGTATCTTGATATGTCGAGCAGATACAGCAATATAAATGCCTCGAATGTTAAGCACAGTGATTAAGAGTTGCGTGTGTAATCTCAGACCCGCATTAAAATAATAATGTACATTGATATAATGAGGGAAAACGCGAAGAAGCTAAAGAAGGGAAGTTGCAACGCATAAATAAAGCTGCATGCATGACACCGTAGTTCATTCCACTTCTGTGACTCGTGAAAATTGTCGTATTAACATTGAATATTTCGTATTGTAGTTTTTAAATATTCCGTGTTCCACTCGACGGTGAGAGTCAATTTATAATTTGTTGATAAAAACTAATTTTTAGCCATTAAGTCTTTTAACTCTCACGATGATATTATATTTTTTGTATCATATATCACATTATACCATTAAGTGACAATTACCTGTGATCGACCGCACGCACGAACATTAACTTTTGAACACAACCGAGGTAGCGTGTCGCCAAAGTTAAAGTAACTTTTCACCAATTCCATCTGCAAGTCATCGAAGCATAACGTTCTTTCACATAAGTGCAAAAAAGAATATTTTTATATTAGAGCAACACACTGCGAAGTGGCACTCATTTTCTTGATATCGTAGGAAATGCTAATAAATCCTTCTTTATTCGTGTCCTTAAGTAAAAGAACCAACATTATTGCTGCAAAATTTATTATATGTCATATGTAAAAATGTTCAAAACTTATTCCATCATTATTTACTCTCGGTTAATAATAATCAATTTTAAAATTTGCCCGTTGATATAAAGATATGTTTTTTAATCCGCTCCTTTAACATATTTGTAAAATTATAGTCGAGTGTGACTTTGAAACAGATATCCTCATTTATCTAGTGTGGGTCAACTCTTTATCTAAGAGAAATGCAAAGTAATGCAAATGTAATAAACAGACACGCGCGTGGATTATGCGCTCGCGATATCTTAAGATATGTTTTGCATGTTGTATTATTACAGTCATTATTGCGCCACACTTTATCAAATGGAAATTTCTAAAGATATTATTTACACAAGTACTTTACAGTATGCATTCAGTATTTAAAGAGAATGCAAAATAGAATCTTAGTAATTATTCCTTAGTTATTGTTTGAAATGATTAGATAATTGGAAAGATTAGTATTATATTTTCACAAGATGAGCTCCAATTGCAATGTTATTAAAATAAATCTATATATATATATATATATATATATATATATATATATATATATGTATATATATAAACAAATGTCCCGACTGACTCATCAACGTCCAACTTAAACTCCTAAACAGAAACATGAAATTCGGCAAGTATATTCCTTCCATGACGTAAGCACTCACTAAGACGAGATTTTTAGAAATTCGATCCTTAACGGGGTGAAAAGAGGTAAAATGTGTTTTCATGGATTCCTCGACGGGTAACGCCGTCAAGCTTAAACTAGTATAAGATAAGATGACACATATATCTCTGAAAAATAGGGGGGCTTGAGAGGTTGAAACGCATGATAGATATATTTGTGCGTATGCTAGAAAATGTTTACTCAGCTCTTATAACGTCGAAGAAAACTGCCGGAATTTTACACTCATAAAGATGTAATAAATATTTAAGTGTCTATTCAAACTTTTTTTAATAGTACTTAACATAGCACTCAATAATAAACAGAAAAATAATTGTAATTATTAGAAGAAAGAAATATTTTTATGTCTTGAAAGAAAGAAAAAAAAACATTTTGAGTAAAGATTTATAATTAACAAAATAAGTAATCTCCGAAGAAAAACTTGTTATTTCTCAATTAGTTTACATAATTAATAATTATCTCTAGCATATTAAATATATTAATCAAATTTCTATTAGTGTATGTTATAAAAATAATAGTATAGTAATAAAAATGGGAATAACAATGCAACTCTACATATGTTTTGTCAACCAATATATTAACTTTATTAACAAATCTGATATTTATTGGTATTTATTGATATTAATTGATATTTATTGATATAAAAACAAAGTCAGATAATTGATAATTGATAATAATCTATATAATAATGTATAATGTTGTGTGTAATCGACATTATCATTAAGAACGACACATTCATTATGTCATACCATTACAAAAAATATATATACATACATATATATATGTAAGATAAGATAACAGCATATATCTCTGAAAAATCAGGGAATTTAAAATGTTGAAATCGATAAATATATTTACACGAATGCTAGAAAATGTTCACTCATCTCTTATAACTGCTGGAAGTTATTAGCGTTTGATAGTACGTATGTGAGTTTCTGTGTTTCATTCAATAGTGTGACAGTGAATTTAAAAAAGAATCTTATTATTAAATTTTTTATCCTGGGTTATGACGCTTCCATCGACGATATCTCTTTGTGATAGTTGATCGAGTGTCTATTAAATATTAATTTATAGATTTATCTATTGATATTAATATACAGATTCGAGTTTAACAAGGGAGTCAAGTGTTTGAAAATTTATGTATCTTTAATTAACGCTTGCATTTTTATATTTAAATGTAATTGAGTATTAATATTTAAATGTTTATAAAATATATAGATTTTGTAATCAAAATCTGTAGCTTATAATATAATTTAATACATGTATTAGTGCCCAATGTTGAGTTCAAAAATATATCAATTATTTGCGACATAATCTACGCTAATGAACATTGGCAACGGGTCATTCATATTATCATGTATTTTTTTTTTTAAATAAATATAACAAAGAATGTTTTTATATAGGCGAACTGTGTACAATGGCACTCATAACTGGTTATTGGGGCCTGGATGGCATGATAATTCTTATGACTCTCATGATAACCGCTTACCTCTACATGACACGCAAATTCAAGTACTGGAAGAAGAGAGGCATTTTGCAAATAACACCTACGCCTTTCTTCGGCAATTTCAAAGAGTGTCTATTTCTGAAAAAAGCCCCCGCATATTTCCTAAAAGATATCTATGAAGAAACAAAGGAACCTTATGTGGGCTTCTACGTATTGGACAAACCTTTCTTGCTGATACGCGATCGAGAAATCGTCAAGAACGTTTTAGTGAAAGATTTCAATTACTTCTCCGACCGATACATATCGGCGGATCCGAACGATCGTATAGGCTATGCAAATCTCTTCTTTATAAGAAATCCAACCTGGAAGGCGATAAGAACGAAACTGACGCCATTCTTCACGTCTGGCAAAATGAAGAAAATGTTCGACTTAATGTTAGTATGCGTAAAGAATTTAGATGAACATCTAGACTCACTAAAATTGGAAGGTAAGTGTTGAATAATTTATATACTTGAACATAAAGTATAAGGAATTTAAAGTTTTAATATTATAAAATCGTATATATAACTGCATATAATAATAAAAACTGATAATTAAAAATTATATTTAGAGAGTCATGATCGATTGTAATAAACAATTAAGTAAATGTGCTAATGTACGGTCGAGCTTGTTAATTTATTTATAAGTTAAATTGTAACGTCACTAAAACCAATTCGAACTTTATTGAAAAATTGGAGATAGTATTCAATGTGGGAGAAAAATGTAATGATCTCTGTAGAGAATTAATTCATTTTATGACGATAAAAACATGGGAATTAGTGTAAGATATTCATAAATAAAAGAATTAAATTAGTAACATTGATGGCAGGTAACGGAAAGACGATAGAAGTGAGAGATCTAACCGCTAGATTTGCCACGGACATAATCGGCAGCACCGCATACGGGCTCGACGTGAATTCGTTCAAAGATCCGGACGCAGAATTCCGCAAATACGGCAAAATGATATTTCAATATGACGTTATCCGCGGCATTGAGATGCTCGCGATATTTTTCCTTCCAACTATAGTCCGTTTGGCACGAATAAAGATGTTCGGCAAACAGCCAACTGACTTTCTGCGTAAAGTGTTTTGGGAGACGCTCACTCAGCGCATGAAATCTGGCATAAAGAGGAACGATCTCATCGATATCCTTATCGAACTCAAAAATAGTAACAGTGATCAGGATCTTAAAGATTTCTGTAAGTGAACTAAAATTAACTTTGTCTATGCAAACATTTTTTACTTTACATTATACTTAATAAAGACGAAATAGAGATGTGGAATGTAATGGTTAATAATAAATTAGATCAACTAACAGATTAATAATAGACTGATTAATAATACTAATAATAAAGTTAATTGTAGCAAGTATAATAAGAGTCTTTAATAATCTATCGGATAAAAATAAATTTCAGCATTCGATGGCGATGATCTCTTAGCACAAGCAGCTAGTTTCTTTTCAGCTGGTTTTGAAACTTCTTCAACGACTACGGCCTTTGCGTTGTATGAACTCGCGGTGCAACCCGAGATTCAAAACACTCTGCGAAAAGAACTTCTCGAGGCATTCGAGAAATCTAATGGAAAAATCACATACGACATGGTATGTGCAATTATCATCCGCCATTTCCCTCTTCTAATTTTTTTATCTTCATAAATTATTTTTAGCAATATATTCTTTAATATAATCTTATATTTATATGATTTATGTAAGAAAACATAATTTTAAGTTACAGAAAATAAACTTAAAATTAAAATAAAGCCTTAAAGTTTGATTATTTGTAATTAAAATTTAAATAAAAAATTATTTTTATAACATTTTCATAACATTTTTTATTAACAGGCATGGTCATTACCATATCTCGATATGGTAGTCTCAGAAACTTTGAGAATGTACCCGCCATTGGGATACCTAAATCGTGTGGCTAATCAAACTTATAAAATGCCGGAGTACAATCTCGTAATTGAGAAGGGTACACCGGTTTACATCTCGATGCTTGGCCTACACTATGATCCGGAATATTTCCCCAATCCCAATAAATTCGATCCGGAGCGATTTAACGAGGAGAACAAACGTAACAGACCGCCATGCGTTTATTTCCCATTCGGAGAAGGCCCACATGCATGTATAGGTAAGAAAATCGACTATAATATAATCTTTATATGTATTACGATATTAATATCTATATATTTCTTCACTTATTCTTTGTTAAAATAATATAGAATATTATATTATTATATATGTTGTAGGCAATCGCTTCGGACTTCTGCAAGCAAAGTTAACACTGCTTATGGTCTTGAGTAAATACGAGGTAACACCGTGCGAGAAAACTTCGATACCAGTGGAAATTGATCCAAAAGGAGCCATGACAGTGCCGCTAAACGGTGTAATATATCTTAATTTCCGAAAAATTAATAATGCTATTTAAATCATGACAAAATGCTTCTTTAGACGAAAGGTATGTACTATCATTTTTTCGGAAGGACGCAAGCAGCATTTTGATAAGAAATCTGTGAACAAATGTAAAAATTAATAGAAATAAATACATATAAATAAGTTGTACGTACTTTGAATATTCTGTTTTTTTATTTTACGTTTTAAATTAATGTTTAATATTAATTAATGTACGATATTAATAGCGAATACTTGAAATTAATAACTCGAATCGTATCTTAAAGCAAAGCATTATTTAAGTTTTCTCATTTAAATTGTTTTTACAAATATAAAATTATGAATATCAAATAGAGCAGGCAACGGAGACTTAGTTTTAACTTTAAACTTATATTTTGCAATGTAAAAATGTTGCATTTATGTTTATTGCACCATAAATCGATAGCACACTAGGAAATTGATTAATTATGCAGTAATTCTTAACAGCTGCGTTTAACAATTTATCTACATTTTTATTTACAATATAAAAATTAAAATTTTTTCGTTCCAAATGTTTTCCTCGTGGTATGTGTTATATTTCAAAAATTTTTATATAGCGAGAAATCATATCTTGTTAAAAATAACTCATTTTTGTCCTATAAAGGGAGACAAGCAATTGCTAGCTCATGTTCAGAAGAGTGAGAAATGAGTACGCCCAGTTATTACAACATAATGATTGCGCAGTATAGCTTTAGGCTTTAAGTACATTACATATATATCTTGCGTCAAAGCAGTACTACATATATATAACTAGCGATAATTTTTGTGAACTTATCTTTGGGCTTTATGTTATCTTCGTACATACAACATCAATGTGTATATATACGAACGGTGTAATCCGCGACACGGGCACGGGCAGGCGCGTCCGTGCGTAATCGGACGGGACGCGCGTGATTCACTGGGCAAATACGCGCGGCGGCGATATCCTCCGTCGCTGCTCCCGGCGCGCCGCCGGCGGGCTCTCTCGCCCGCTCGCTCGCTTTCTCGAAACGTCCGTCAGCGAAACGTACGACGGGAGTCGCGCGCGTCCAATAAAGATATAGTAATTAATTTTAGTAATACCTTCGTCATTGAACTGGAGTGCGCTAAAATACGCTCGATCCTACTGCCATATATTATATTACTTGAATGTTTCTGTTCTCAAATAATAGATCAATTATTTTGAAGAAAGAAGACGAGGGTTCAACGCCATTACAATTTGGAAAAAGAACTTGAATGTCTCAAAAATCGTGTTTTATAATATAAATTCGTGTTTTTATTTATTATTCGCTTTATTATCATACAAATTATTGATTTTACTGTTTACACGTAGAAAAAGTTTTGACTACAATTCAGTAATACTTAATTCTCCAGTTTTTATTGTCTATGTTTTAAAATCAGATAATTTTGTCGCATTCAACACGTTTTCTTACATAGAAATAGAGTGGAATCGAAAATTAATTTAGTATAAAAATTAAATATAAAAATTCAATTCGTAACTAATACGAGTCTAAAGCATGGTAGCAACGAATTTATAATATGAATTCTTAACATATTTTACTAATTTTTGTAGCGTAAACGGTCATCTATGGCTATTTTTATACACCAGCAAGTATTAATAGGTCCTTTAGCTACAGGTCCTTAATTCTTTTTATTATACGCGTTAGGTCTCGGAACCTTCGAATGAAAGGTAGATATGGATTGTCGATCGATAAAGAAACTTACTATGACATGAGCTTCAGTTTTTCGACACTGGGTAAATCACCCCACGTGGCACACGTGCCACCTGCCACGTGCTCGTTTTTGGGTTAACAAGTATCGCAACCAACTTACAATTAGCCAAAATAATAGAGACTATCCTATAATTTAAAATTTTTTTAGATTGAATGGGCACGAATTTATCTGAAATAATATTAAAATCCTAGATATTGGAAAATCCTACATTTAAAAAAGTATCTCTAAATTATTTTACAAAATATTAGAATTAACCTACAAAAGGACACATTAGATATGTCTTTGTAATGATTGATTATTATTCACCGAGAGACTGTTGAGAGAGACTTCCGTATAACTAACATCTTCTATTTGTTTTTATTTATTTTCTTGTTTTATTTATTGACAAACTTCTTTCCTTTATACATATTACTTCATGATATTGGTTGGTACCATTTTTACCTTGTAATCGAGGCTAAACCTTCAGTCGTTGCGCTGATCTTAGACAGAAAGCGTTGTCTCGTATCGAACTCAAACACTAGTGATTGTTGACTGTTAGGTAAGTAGATTACATTATCCCATACCACCTAAGAACTATTTATTAGAGTTAATTCCTTTGACATGATTTTTTATTTATAAAAGGCAGCAGTCAATACCACTGGTTGATTTTGTTAACAAACTTCGCGTCGTGACCACTGATTTAAAGTACACGTCATTTTCATTTTATTTTGACGATTTTAAGATTATAACCGAATTTTAATTTTTAACAGTAAACATTACTAAATTTATATAAAAACAATATAAAAGGATAGGGCTATATAGCGAACAAAGCTGGGAACACGTGCTTAAAATATGTATTATAAATTATATAGTAAACTGAGAAACAAACACGTTTTGATTTTCAATATGATCATCTTCAGTGCGCAATATACGGATAAGAATTATTCCAACGGAAATTCGCAAATTGATGACAATTGCAAAATTCCAACGGAAAAAGGAATAATATCTCGCATTATAAGAAAAAATTGAGCCGATAAATTACATGTGTACTATGTGACCTTATTGAGAGGCACTTAGAGGCTATTTCCGCCTTAATTTAACAATCGTCATTAACTTGCACTTTTTCGTTGGAAAAATTCTCATCCCTATATTGCGCACTGAAGGTGATCGTATTGTTGATAGTCGAAACATCTGTTTGTTGTTGTCTCAGTATATAAAAATTTATAATACGTATTTGAAGCACGTATATTTACCATTGTTTTAAATTTTAATTGTTACATTGATGAGAGTCGGAAACATAAATCTGTAATTTGTATTTATGTTTGTATTAAAGTTAATTTTTCTATTTTATATAATCTCGTTTTGACAACGGCGTTTTGCTCTTATTTGCCTTAAGTTCAGAATTTGATTGTATATGTAAAGACTGTATTTCTTTTTTGGTCCAATTTTTATGTATATTCACTTTACGCTCGTCGGATAGCTTAAGATTAATTAATTTACCTACCATCGCCTCGCTGAAGACGGAATTGCTTTATACTTCTATAGTTCCCAAAATGGAACTTTTTCTTAAATACCGATTAATTATTATTTTCTAAGTTAGTGATAATTGTCTCTTCATTATTCTAAAATATTAAAATATAACATTTTCTATTTTTATACAAATGTAAGAAAAATATTTTTATAGAGAAGCTGCGAAATGGCGTTCATGACGAACTACTGGATCCTAGATGGCATAATAATTTTAACAATTCTCATTATAATCTACTTTCTCATGACTCGCAATTTTAACTACTGGGAAAATCGAGGCGTTCTGGAAATAACACCAACAATTTTCAACGGTAATTTTGGCGAATGTTTAAATCGAGAGAAAGCCCCGTCATACTTCCTAAAAGAACTCTACGATCGAGCGAAGGATAATAGTAAACCTTATATAGGTTTCTACATTTCTGGCGTACCCTTCTTGTTGCTTCGCAATCGCAAAATCATTAATCACGTCTTGATAACTGACTTTCATTATTTCCACGATCGGTACTCTTCGGCTGATCCAAAGGATCGTATTGGTTACGCTAATCTTTTCTTCATCAAAAATCCAACTTGGATGAAATTGAAAACAAAATTGATGCCATTTTTTAATAACAGCACACTGGAGAAAATGTTTGATCTGATGCTAGTATGCGAGGAGCATTTAGATAAATATCTTGATTCGCTGAAATTGGATGGTAAGTTGGAGGGGTCTATTGAACAATTCGTGAAGTTAGAAAATTTAGAAAGAAGGAAAAGATTGTGACTATATAATCACAATTATCTGTAAAATTTTTGTGATGTTAAAATAATTTATGTTATTCTACGCACGAAGATGTTCGCCCGTGATAATAAAAATGCGAAATTGAGTATAATATCTCTACAACAGATTTAATCAACTGATGACATTGATTTGCCCGCAGGTAATGGACAAATAACAGACGTAATGGATGTAAGTTCAAAATTAACCGTGGATGTGATCTGGAGCACTGCTTATGGACTCGACGTAAACACGTTCGAAGATCCTTTCAGCAAACTTGGCAAAATAATGTTAAACGATAAATATAACCGTGGCTATGAGATGCTCCACATGCTCTTCCTTCCAAATGTAACCAGTATGGGTAAACTAAAAGTGTTCCAAAAAGAGACGACCGTACTTCTGCGT